ATGATTCCTGTATTTTGGCAAAAGAAAAGAACCATTTAAAACGTGTTTTTTTGGAAATGTGTTTCATAAAATCTAGCACATCGTGTATCAATAAAAAGTCCGATATAGACAAATTAAGTAACATTTATTGTTATTTACTAGAAAAACACCAAAAATAAAAATAAAATAAATATTTACCTGTACAAAAAATTACACCTCTGTAAATGTGCATACATAAGACAGGTTAAAAATTATAGACACCTAAGAAAGGCCTCTAGTAATGCTTGTAAAGAAAGATAACATCAATTTACACCTAATTACATATTAATTACACTGTTTTTTCTTTCCATTCTCTGTATGAGTTAATATACACCAGTAAAACATGCCATCAATCAAGTTTTACTATTTTTAACAACAAATTTTTAAAAATTTTATAATGTATTATGTCCATAATTGTATATTTTAATGTGTGGTATTAATGTTGAGTGTTCAATGCTTACAAAAATAATCTCAACGACTAGTAAGTTACACTGAAGAATGGTGATATTATTTTTAAATACTTACATAATTGTCTTTTACAGTGTCTTGAAAAAGGAATAAAAATATTCCGAAAGCTCGACAAAAAGTCAAAAGAGTGTTTTTTTAACATCCCGGCCAATAATTCTGACTGCAACCCTAATAAACTGTGTCGTTTGTATATATATATATATATATATATATATATATATATATATATATATTATATATATATATATATTATATATATATATGCTGTCACTATTTTTCCGGGTTTGACTCCGCGTTGTAAAATGCTGGTTTTCTTGAAAACCATTGTTTTGGCGACGTTTCGGCAAGGTCTCACTTGCCATTCTCAAGCCTGGTGGATCTACTTCTCGTCGTTACTCGATTAGTACTGGTCGATTAGCATTTAACAACGCGGAGTCAAACCCGGAAAAATAGTGACAGCACATATAGCTCCCGCGGAAACCTCAAAACAAACATATATATATATATATATATATATATATATATATATATAATATATATATATATATAGTATATATATATATATATATATTATATATATATATATATATATATATATATATAGATTTATGATGTATATATTTATCATAATATTTTTTAGGGCATTAATTTTTGCCTCTTTGATGGCATTCCTTCGTCGCCTTCTGATTCTAGAAGATCTTCGAAGTCTTCAAAACCATCACCGTCTTCATCTCCAATATTATTTCCTGTCTGCGTTACTTTCTCATCCACAATGAAAGACGAAATGATAAAAAAAATTCGATTTGAGTTTTCTTCGTTTTTTGCGTTTTTTGAGAACATTTCCCATAGTAATGTATATATTTTTTACACTATCGGGAAGTAGAGGTTTCAAGAAACAAAAAGCCATCGAGTTAGAATCTATGGAGAAGCTATGAGCATATTAACGTATGTATTAAAAACGGCATAGGTAGGAGTGGCTAACGATAATATCAATATGGCGGTGACATCAGGGCCAGACTCAATAATAATAAAACTACTATACAAATATGACTAGTTATTCAGAAGATTTAATCATAATCTAAAAAAGTGCAATACATTTTTAATAAACTATGATTTATTTATCCCGCGGTAAACACTAAAAACACGATATATTATACATAAAGATAAATTAATACAGTCAAATAGTATTAATTTATTCTCTGAAGTACGGGCCATTACTTTGTTTACATATTTGTATACTAACCTGTGGAACGATATTCCTGAAGATTTTTTATTAACATTACTTCTGCTACTGCAACTACGTTGAGAACAAGAAACCATTATTATGCACTATCACAATATATTACAGTTTCTATAAAATTATTATAAAACTGAAAATATTTGAAAAACAACAAATATAACCAAACATATACGATCTGTCAAAAGTTTCAAAACAATAATACCAATATGGTCGAAGTTAGGTCGTTTTTAGTCACGTGATGCCCTCTCCATAGATTCTAACTCGATGCAAAAAGCCCACCGACTTTTTTTTAAAAAAGCTGATAATTTGATGTGTGAATTTTCGATTGAATATTAGGGTGCTTGTTCGATATTAAATCAATATCATGTACAAAAATAAATTCTTCAATTCCAAAAAATTACAGTGTGTTTGGTACATACTATGGCAAGTTTGCACCAAATATCGTAAAAAAACAATTTTTTTTTTGTAAAAGATAAAAATAAAAATCAAAAGCTTAGTTTTTTCAATTTTTCACAAAAATTTTGAGGTTATGTGAAAAAAATTGTAAATACAAAAGTTGTAGATCTTTTTGTTACCTACAACTTTGCTATTTAACTTTTTGCATAGCACTTGTAGTTTCGCCGAAAATAGAGATAAACCGATTTTTACCCTTAAAAACTCACCCCCTTCCACTTCCCGACCAAGGATTGAGTGGAATTTATTTTTTCTTCCATTTTTGCATATTCTCTTCTTTTTCCAGTAGGTTTCATTGTACTATATTTTTTTTTACTTTTTACCCTTTTTAAATGCTTCGACACTGGTCTAAATTTCTCAAATTTTCTCTACTTTTTACGCCATTGTTTTGATCCATCGGTGACTATTTTCTATTTCTTCTGTAGATTCTGAATTTTAATTTCATGCTTCTTTAAATTGCATCTGGATTCTTGTAAACTGTATTAGTAAAGATTCCAACCTGGAATCCGAACTTTTTTTGTGGTTTTTTCTCAACATGATATTTAATAAACTGAGGTGCAACAAAACCAATATTGGATTATGAACTTGGTCTAATTTTTTAGGTTCTTGTTGATCTTCTAGAATCACACTCAACATTTCTGATAATTCTCAGTCTTTGTCGTTTTTTCTAGATTCGTTATTAATTTGTCTCTCTGTTTTTTGATAATCTATAAAGCACGTGTACCTATATTTTACAATTCACATACGCAAATGTAACACGAAATGTGTGCTTGTCTGTTGTTTCTCTATTCTTTTAAAGCCTATGCAATTTTCTATACATTAGTCTTTAAACATCTTTTAAACTTTAAATTTTATTTATCTGCTTAGTTAGTTGATTTAGTAAGTCAATGGTTTAGATTTTAATTTCTTTCTTCGCACACCTTTTGTTTTTTGTCACATTTGTCATATATTAAGTAAATGGTATAAATATAATTATAAATTATATAAACACATAAATAACGTGAAATTAGAGGATTCTCTTTTGAATATCAGTTGTAAGCATTAATTTGTAGTACCTATTTTAAAATTTTTTATCATTTATTATTTAAATTACTATTTAACTGGGAATAAGCCACAATTAAAGATAAAAAAATACGTTTATTGGCGTTTCAATTTCCACTTCGGAAGTGGAAATTTAAAATGCCACAAGAAAATAGCTTCAGAATAATATTTATTATTACAACCAAAGACATTTGTATGTTTTAGAGTTAAAACAATTCCGGTGGCTGGGAATAAAGGTAATAAAACAAGGTAATAAGAAACTGAAAGGCCTGCAGTTATTGAACCTAGTGAAGATGCAATATTAGGACATGTTCACCTAGATTCCATATTAGATACGAGGCAAATAGCATATGTATCTGAAATAAATTAAACTAGCGTCCAAGCTATTTTGAAGCACAAATGCCATCCATATAAACTACAGTTCGTGCAGGAACTTATGAAGATGGTTATGACAGTCGCTGTCCCGTCGTTTACATTTTTGTGAAATAATTAATGGGCGAGCACAGACCGATCCAGTTTCGGTTTAATTATTTTTTCTTCAATAATTGCACTTTTTTATAGATGGAACTGTAAATCGTCACAATTGCCGTTATTGGTCTGATTAAAATCCCAGGAATTTCCACAAGCTGCATACATACACAGCAACCGCAAAAATTAAATGTATGGAATCTATGTTAGACTGGTATTTTTGGTGATTGTCTTATGGGACCATTGTTTTTTCTGTCAATTTGACTGGCGAAATGTATTTACCATTACTGAAAGACGTGATTAATCCTTCCTTGACTGATTTTATTAAAGATGGTCAATATTTAATGAATATCATTTGCATTTTCAACAGTTTTCTGCATTATGCTTTACTGGTTAGTCAACATTTTGGACCAAAATTGGGAGGAGAGTCAGAATCGAATGGCGTTTTTGGTCAGTAGATTTGTGTCCACTGGATTTTTTATGGGGACACCAAAAAAGTAAAATCAGTAGAACACCACCCGTATTTTAAGAAGATGTACGAATTGTCAACGACTGTCTACGAATTACTACGAACAAATGCTTTGTAACGTTTCGTACAAACCTTTAGCCTTGTATGGACTATGAGGGTATTTGATTAACTAAGAAATAAGTAACGAGTTAAAAATTTAAAAGTGTATTTTTCTTAATAAATCCAATATAGTATTAAACTGAATTTAAACGTTTATAGACTAATGTATAGGGAATTGCATCAGCTTTCGAACGATATAATAAAAAATCTTGGGTTGATTCTTACTCGTGCTTAGAAGTGAAAGTAAAATAATCGAAATTACCGAAAAAATGTGTCTCCCTTTAACCAAAAATTGACCTGTCGCAGGGACCTTCACAAATGTTTTATATAAGTGACTCATAATTAATGTAATCTTCGATAATTTTCAAAATTTATGTAAAAAGGTTTAGCATCATCAGGAATCAGATTTAGATAACTTTTATGTCATTTACCTTTGCCTCCGCCAAAGGTTCATTATTGGATCAAAGCTGTTCCATTAATTTCTGCTTCTGAAGACATTTTTTTTAAATAAATATAAATGTTTTCACTTTGATTATCAAGTAACCAAGTAAAATTATTGGCAATTTGAACTTAATAATTGAATCCCTACACATTTCTAATTTTTGGCTTGTATATTTTTTATAATTTTTTTATAGTTCTTATCAATATGTATCAATATGTACTTTATATAATGTTTGCATTTTGTGTCATCGCTTGGGCTGAAAAAACTAAGAATGACTAATGACTCATTATTTTTAATTGCAGGTTAAAACCATTAGATATAGAGTTTATGAAGAAGCTTCATAATAAAGTAAACATAGTTCCTGTGATTGCCAAAGCTGACGTTTTAACAAAAAAAGAAATGCAGAAATTAAAGAAAACTGTACTGGATGAAATTGCTCAAAACGGAATAAGAATATACTCCCTTCCTGAATGTGATTCGGATGAAGATGAGGAATATAAGGAACAGGTAATACGTCGTATTGAAAAAATCATATGTACAAGCATATTTACAAAGCCATATATATTATTTTAACATATAGCAGATTTAAACTTCTGTGGATAGTTCGCTTTTGATAAAATAGATATTGTTTTAACCATCGGAATATTATTCAGTTTCACGTCATCATTCTAGTTTTCTTATTATACTAGCATATTCCCCAATTTCATCCTCTACCAAGGGTGTGGTTAAGTAATTTCATCAAATAAATAAACAGAGAGCAATAAATACTGTTAACATTATAGCTTTATAGACTTACCCATTTTTCAGTGTAGTCACAGAAAATTGTATACCTTATTTTGCCTATAACTCTTTTTGTCTTTCACTTTTGTACATTTAAGTAGTAGTGATTTTCATTTTTGTTTATTCTAGGGTAAATATAGATAATAGTCTCTTCTTTACGGACCATCGGGACGAAGGTTGGCAATCATCTTGGCTATTCTGATCTCAGATGCGACAGTTTTGAATAGTTCAATTGATGTGTATCCGTACCATTGCCTCAAGCTACGCAGCCATGAGATTCTTTTACTTGCTATAGTTCTCCTGCCCTGGATCTTCCCTTGTATAATCAATGGAAGCACGTTGTATCTCTCACCACCATCAAATGCGTCTGGTATTGCAGCTTTTGTGTTTTAATCGTTTCCATTCTTGTATTACCTCTTCTCATTTCTTCGTTTTTGTTACATGCTTGGTTCAAGTTATCTTTAGCATTCTTTTATATTCATATTTCGAATGCTTCCAGCTTTTGAGTTGTCGCCGCTTAAGGGTGCACGCTTCTACTCCGTAGAGTAGGTCCGAGAAAATATAATACCTTACTAACCTAACTCTCCTAATTCTAGTTCTCTTCTATAAAGTACCGTTCTTGTTTTATTGAAGTTTGTGCTTTTTCTATTCGAACTTTGATTTTTTTAGTTATCGTTTGTTGACCTTTATTCTAGCTGTTTCTCCCTCGAGAGATCTTTTTATAATTTCTTCACTTTTTAAAGACACTTTAGTTACTAATTTAATTTGAGGAATGTTAAACAAACGGATTTTACTTAATGATCTTTATTTCATCTTTTTAATACACCTTGTCCGGTGAGGGCTTGAAGAGAAGTAAAGTACATTTTACGTTGTGGCTATATGCGGACAAGCATAAGAAACAGGGCCGTCTCAATGTTTAAAAATTACGATACTTAACAGTATGTTTTGAAAACTAGTGACGATAATACACATCCCTGTCTTTGGCAGACAATTTTTTTAATATATGATCCACACAATTGGTGGATTACTCTGACAGTTCGTCGTGAGATGACCCTGTTCTTTCATTAAACTTTATCAAGAAGTTTTTATTAGAGCATCTTTTATTGGGCCTATTTAATTTCAGGACACCATTTTGGTCCGGGTAATTTTTGGGATCATTGCTGTATTGATTTTTTCATCCATCAACATTTTTTGGGGAAATAGTTGAAACTCTGTTCTATTTTGTAATAAAACACATGTGTCACATGAGATATGTCAGGGTGTAATAGCACGATATAGGCAAGTGACGGAAAAAAGACCCAATTATAATTTACTTACTGTTAAGTCCATGGTTCTTTACCCGTGCGTCATCGTTTATAGCATATGAAATAAGTTGGAAATTTATTCCACGCCACAGCAAGTGACAGAAAGTGGCTATTGCTTCGATCACGGATTATATTATAAAATTTGACGTTGATTTGACAAAAATTTTGGTGCAGAATTACAGCTACATTTGAAGTAGCTTAATAAATTATTTTAATGTAATTAGTGATTAATAAATAAACAATTTATAAAAAAATATAGTTAAATACACAATAATATTTCCACTGTGTTGGTGTAATAGGTAACAGTAAAATCATTTAAAGAGTGAAACATTATTTAGCTCATATAATATTGCTGCAAGACCTTCAGAATCGGAACTTGTGAAAATAAGTTGTGAAAACAACTGTTTGTGTAATATAAATAACTTTTATATGCAAAAACAGAACAAAAAAAAATAGCAAAAATCCAACAAACTGCCAGCCACAGATAGCTGGTTTGTCTTTAGTTTCATGCGTGGAAGATAATGATGCTAGATAAAAAGTATGTGTTTCATTCAGCCAGGTATTAATGACACACGGGTTAAGAACTATGGACTCAACTGTACTTATTTGAAAAATTAACAAGTTACTCACAAATCTTAGAATATTTTTTAGTGTCTTGTACTGAAAGTTTAAAATTTTTTAGAATATGCCACATTTCTTGCAAATGGCAAAAAGAAGTCAATAAAACAAATCTTTTCTGTTTGTATGGGAATCTAATTTTATTTAATTGAAATTTTCGTAGGTACGTCAATTAAAACAAGCTGTTCCTTTCGCTGTTTGTGGAGCAAACACCGAATTAGAAGTAAGGGGACGAAAGGTAAAAGGACGCTTGTATCCATGGGGAGTAGTTGAAGTTGAGAATCCCGAACACTGTGATTTTATCAAATTAAGAACAATGTTAATAACGCACATGCAAGATCTCCAGGAGATTACGCAACAAGTACATTATGAGAACTACAGATCTGAAAGATTGGCCAAAGAGGGTCCCGTAGCTAAGAGAAATCCGTAAGTATCTATCAAGACGCTTAAAAACTTTCGACTTCAGTCATCCTAAACACGTTAAACACCTTTGGTAAAACATATGGTTAACAATAGATGGTTTAGGATCTGGAGATATGACAGAAAACGGAAAATGACAAGCAGAAAAATTAAATAATTAATAAATAAACGTACATGAAATAGTATTTAAAATGTTAAGGTTTTAATATACTTAAGGTACTATTACCATCTAGAATGCTAAAAATGACATATTTTCAACATTTTTTTTTGTATATCTATTGTATATGGCAATCCAACTTTTTATATTATTTTAAACTTTTGAAGATTACATTTTTTTTTAATTTTTGCATTGTTCCTGTATTATGTCGCTAAAATAGTTTCGTCCAAAAATTACTCCTCAATCGCGGACAGTTAATATCTGGGAACGTCAAATCTGAAATATAAAATTCGAGAATGATTTTAAAAAGAAGTGCCCTTACGTGATAGTTTACCAGAAAAATTGAAAATTAAAAAAAAAAACAGAAATTGACCTTTTTCTATTTGTTTCAGTTACAAAAATTTTATTATAATTTTTTTGGTCAATTGTGTTAACTATCATAAAGAAAACCCAAAACAAACTAAATGCATCAAAGTTTATTAAAATCGACCAACTAGATCCGAAAATTAACTGTCTGTCAGTTTTTCTTAAAATATTTAATCTCCGGATCTAGTTGGCCGATTTTAATTAATCTTAATGCATTTTGTTTTGTTTTGGTGTTCTCTATGGTAGTTGTGATTGGAAAAATAGTAAAAGAAAAATAGGAAAAATTTGTCCACCGGATGGTGGACATTTTTGTTTGTTTTTTTTTTATAATTTTCAATTTTTCTGGGAAACTATCACATAAATTTGCCAGAGTTTTATATTTCAGATTTACTGTTCCAGAGAATAACTAAAAACAAAAAAAAAGAATATGAAAGAAATTTAATTACCATATTATATTTGTTGAAAATGTGCAAATTTTTAGCATTCTAGACGGTAATAATTTCTTAATAATACGCTTAATAATATATTGAAATCGGATAATAAGTCTACGGGCTAAAAAATATACAAAAACAGTGTTTGTGAGGGCGTGTGTGAGGTCGAACGTACATATCAATGCCGATATGATGTGCAGTTATACTTTTCTTTATTTATCCACACCTATATTTTTCACTTTGTTTCACTTTCTAGCTTGTTTTTGTTTTTCATAATTATTTCTTTTTATTAATTGCTTCCAAATTCGCATATGAAGGTTTTTCGTCTGACTTGGGTGCTAATTTTACATTTATATTTATTTGTAAAGTATATTATATTCTCCATGGCAAGTTGTGCTTTGTCTTCAGTATCTGTTTTCATTCCGGACAATACTATATTATTTTTTCTTTTTTTTTTTTCGTTCTAATCATTCGACTTCGTTTGTTTGTTTCTTCCTCGACAGTTATTTCTCCCAACCACTTCTTAATATCCTTGTTCACTTCTTTATTTTTTGGCTTTCTTTCCTTAACAGTTCATTTTCTTCTCTGATATTTCTTAACTCTTGTTGAATCTGCTTTTGTGCGTTCTTCAGTTTTTTAATTTATGTTTTAAGTCCTTTAATCATTTCTATTATAGGCAAAAAGAAATAAAATAAGACTTACTCACATTATATTTAATTATACCACCAACGACCGGTTTCGCATACTATAATTTGCTATGCATCTTTATGTCTTACGGTACCTGGTAAATTAAATGATGCTGGTACAAGAATTATTAATTGGTGATTTGATAATTTGATAGTGATTTAATAATTCTTGTACCGGCATCATTTAATTTACTAGGTACCGTAAGACCTGAAGATGCATAGCAAATTGTAGTATGCGAAACCGGTCGTTGGTGGTATAATTAAATATATTGTAAGTCTTATTTGATTTCTTTTTACCTATTTTAAATGTACTCACACAGGCAACACATTCAACATTTCTATTATCTTTGATCATTTCTATTTCGACAACAATGATGTTAGAAACAGCGGAGATGAAAAAAAATTAGACAAATTAATGGTAAAACACTATGAGACATAGCTAGAAGTACAGATATACGACGTAGATGCAAGGTGAAGAACATCAAGGACTGGGTAAGAAATAGAAATATAGAATGTAACGATCATATAAGCCGTATGACAACAAATATAGTAGTAAAGAGGCCAGAGACAATTCAGAACAGTAGGAAGATCGCGAAAACGATGGAACGACAACTTACTGGAGGCACACTGAAAAACAGACAGAATCATATCTACATAAAAACAAGAAGGAAATATTTCTATTAATTGGTCCAGTTTCTCATCTTTTTTTCTAGCTTTATTTGGGGATCCCGTCATATTTTTACTGTTTGAGAGTATATATTGGAATTATATGTTTCAGCAGTGTGAAGCGCCCTGTCATACGGCCAGAACCACAAACAACTGGTTTGGAAACAGTAATATAAATGTCCGTTCTCCGCCTTCGAACAGTCCTGACCTAAATGTCATTGAAACAAGCAAAAAAATGTCAGCATGAAATGAAACAGATAATAAATAATCCACAACGGACATTGCACGAACCTAAAATCCAAAATGGAGCAATGAATTTACCTCTGATAACTGCAGATCCTTAGTCAAGTAAATGCTCAACTGAATTCGAAAATAAATATCTGTTCGTTGTCACAATATTTAGTTGTCAACAAAATGTACTCTCTTTATTATTAATTAGTTATGTTAGATTAAGTATATTTTGTTTTGTGTTACTGATTGAAACTGTTTGATTAGTAATAAACTAATTACATAGTAATACATTAAACAACATGATCATAAAAAAATTAACTGTCAACTATCTGAATTTTGCATGTATTTTAGTTAGTCCCATTATATAGTTGTTAGGGCTCGTAGTCCAGCTGATTCTTAAGTGGCGGCCGTACCGCAGTGGATATGTTACTGGCTTAACAAGCTAAATGGCCCGGGTTCGATCCCTGGCACTGGCAAATTTTTCAATTTCTAATTTAACTGAGCTGCCACTGTCCTTCGGAGGGCACGTAAATCCATCGGTCTCGGCTACATACGAGGTTGTTAAGTCATGCTAGGTGCGCTTTCGCGACCTGAAAACCCTAACACCAGACCTTAACCAGAAGGTTACACGAACTTTACTTTTAGCTGATTTTTAACATTCTCCTTTTAAGTTACATTTAAAATGCAGTTAGCTTCTTTATATCAATTTGAAGTCCCCTTTCGGAACCGCAGCAGAGAAGCGATGAAACGTAACGGTTTAATATTCATAGTATACCTACGTCTAAATTTGAGTGGCACGACAGTTTCCGCATATTGATAAATCCCGCGTTACTATCTCAATTTGTCTTTTAATTTCCTTTTAATCGTCTAATTAGGTGTTTAATTCTCTTCTTAGATATATTTAGAATGTAGAATTCAGTCTATCTCTAGTCTTCCGATGTTTTGTGCTTGTTAACGTCGGCTGACGACAAGAATTTCGGTTTTTGCGTGATATTCTCATTCTTTTTACAAGATATACCTCAGTATATTATGAACGGTTTCATTAATCTTGGCTTCTTTTGGCGTTTTTTTCAAGCGATTAATTCAATATATACTCAGCATAAACATTGAAAAGGAGGTGGGACAAAATGCATGCGCTCTTGACGCACTCGTCTCTTTATGTTACATTTCTTGATTTTTTTTTTAATTTGGATCAATTTGTATTTGTTTGATACGATCGAAAATCTTTATGTCGTCAACGAAGCAATCCTACAGTTTTTTTTTTGTATTCCCAATATCATTCGGTCATTAGTGTCAGACCCAGGATTACCTCCCTAGTTCATCTTTCTATTTAAATGCATATTAGCATCAATCTATATATACCTCGCATTTGCTTTCTATTATGTGATAAATAAGATGCTTACAAATTGTTTGTAGCTTATGGCTAAATAGGCAGAGACTATATAGGCAGAGAAAGTATACCTTTCCAATATTGTTCTGAAGCTATTTTCTTGTGGCATTTTAAATTAATTACTATTTAACTGGGAATAAGCCACAATTAAAGATAAAAATACGTTTATTGACGTTTCAATTTCCATTTCGGAAATCGTTCTCAAAATACAAACAGTAAATTAAACAAATTTTGTTTTTTGTTACTTAGTGAAAAATTCTTCTAATAATTTAATTTTATCTGACTCATTTATATTGAAAATTCAGACATACATTATGCATTTTAAAGTAGACGACTTTAAAATAATATTGCCAATATAGTTGAGTTGCGCTCCTGGCGCGACTTTACTAATAAGATAGTTCATTCGATTACATGAAATGAACTTTAACTTGAGAATATCCGTCAGAAAAAATCATAGCATGTAATTCGTCTTTAAAAAGACAAACACATGCCATGATGACAGTAAAATAGTGGTTCCATAGAGCCCCTTGGTTTCTTAACAACTCTTGTTGTAAGGGGAGTGATGGCATTCTCCTATGTCCCAGCAGCCATTTTTGCCTTTTCCCTCATCTTTCTTTGTTGAGCTCTAGAGAGGCTCCGAAAAATCCGAAATTATACTTTATAATTTGGAATTTTTTTTTGAGATCAGGAATTCTTTTTTCATCGAATATATATATATATATATATATATATATATATATATATATATGTATATATATATATATATATTATATATATATATATATATATATATATATATATATATATATATATATATATATATATGGCGCATGAGTAGGATTTGATCTCTGATTTTATAAAATGCAAAAATTTAATGCTAAGCTTTCTACGACCACGTGGCATCTACATAAGAAAATATCTAAAGTTACATTTGTTGCCCCGCTCTTTCATATTTTAGAACAAGTAATAGCTCTGACATGACCGGTCTATAGTGGTACAATAAGGAACTAAAATTTTGTTCAACTTGTATAATATGTGTATAACTTCTGCAGAGACTAAAAAATGACAGTGAAAGATCCTTCTTTATGCGTTTATATTCTTTGGAAGTATTTTAGACGGTATATGTACCGTTGGTTTTGTCTACATAGACTCAATTTTACGTTTAATTAAAAGTTACTCAAGTTAAGTTACAAAGACTCAAGTTACGTTTAATTAAAAAACCAGACGAAATTTAGTGATCACCAATGATAATTATGTGTTTAATGTTTGCCTTTATTTTTAGTGGGGATGAAAAAGCAGCTCCAGCTGGTGATAAAGATAGAATCCTGCAAGAAAAAGAAGCTGAGTTAAAGAGAATGCAAGAGATGATAGCCGCAATGCAAGCCAAAATGCAACAAACAACGCAGTAATTTTTACTTTGTAATATATGTGTTAAGGTTTACATATCTTGAAATTGCCTATACCGTTAACCATATTCATTAAGAATTTCTTGATATTAATTAAATCTCAGTTTAACAACTACATGTTAAGGTGAGACAATAAATTAATATTAAGTTTTGTTTGTTAAAAATTACATAAGATCTGATATGAGTTGATTAATTAATTATTTCTTGAATTAAAATGTAGCGCGCATAATTTTTACGCATATATTTTAGCAGCCAGAGGAATATTACATGTAATTGTATTTCTTTTTCAAGGCACTGGATCATATTCAGTTTGTTTTTGACTACTTATGCGACATATCATCCTGATTTAATGATTAGCATCACCTTTATCTATTCTTATAACATAAAATGTATAGGTCGGGGTATTGTGAAAAACTTATAAGTTTCCAAGTATATATTTGTTTCCAAATATTGGAATGGTAAAGAAATTTGCCTGTATGAAATAGTAAACCTAATAAATCTTTTGGTATAATCACGCGTTTACACATACAATTAATACTTTATGTTATTTTCATTCATTATCCAATGAGCTTCCAATCAACTCGGTCCTGGACTTGTCGCTATTCTCTTACGCAGATCGTTTTCTACGTCATCTAGGCGTCTAATTCTTACTCTATCTCCTAGACGCCATCCTTATGTTTGTCTTCGATCATGCACTCCAGGTGACGCAACTGTATCATTTTAGTTTTTTACCTCTTGGCACACGATAGAGCTGATTATCGGATAATTTTCATTTACTAGCATCAATAAACTTTTTAAGTTTCATAAGTGCCCATGTTTCATTTGCATATAACACAACTGCCTGAGTATTGTGCAGTAGATTCTTTCGTTTCTCTGATTTTGATTTTGATTTTGAAATCCTAAAGATAAATGAATTATTAATACTTGAAATTTTCAACGTCCTCAAATTCTTTTTGGTCGAGAGTTCATGGTTCTACGTTAATCTGTAAATTTCGGCTAATAACCATACACTTTGTTTTCTTCTTAAGAGTAACGCTTTCAGTTCTTTTATATCTTGTTCTCATTTAAAATATCGATATCGTTAGCATAAGGAAAACGTTACAGAGTTACGATAGAATTTTCTAATGATTTTTTAAGAGTTAAATTAAGTAAAATGCAGAATAGGAAAGCTTTTTATGAAAATATTTTCCAATTGCAAACTATCTAAAGTTTTATCACTATACTGTTGCTTTCATTTAGGATTTTGTATAGTTAGTGCGATATATTGTATTTTTCTTTCTTTTATTGTCCTTTTAACGTCTTTTCACTGTACTTCAACGTTCTTAACGTGATCCATCCATGTAAGCCTAAGAATTTTTCTATATGTCCATATCTCAAAGGAGTTAAATATTAATCAGCGTCCACCATTCAACTCCATAATTATATAGTTCAAACTTGATTATTTCATTTCCACTTAACATTAATGCTTGTAAAAGCAGCCTTCTTTTAAAGGCACGCCTGTCATCTTCAGTTTCTTTATATAAATTTTAACTTAGATTGGATTATCTAATTTAATATCAAACAATCGTTGTCTTGTAAGTTATTTGTAAATTGTTTTATTTGTTACTTTTAGTCTATCATTTATCTTTCTAAACGACATTCAGAAACTAATACACTAAATAAATATATATGTTGAATCCTGCCAATGAAGGCTGTTTTTTTCAATTACTATTTGATCACCAGCTACATTATCGAGTGAAATTGTATTTTCATGATATCTTTAAAGAGGTTCTGAAACTATTTTTTTTTGTGATATGTTTAAGGTAATTTTTTTATATGGGATTTAATCACAATTGATTTTAAGGTGAATTACTTTTTACATTTGTTTTTGACGTTTCAGTTACCAATCAGAAAATAGTTTTTATTTTTTTTAATGTAAAACGTTAGATTTAACCTGAAAATGTTTATAAATTGCAGCTGCGTGGTAATACCAATTTGACAGTTGGCTTACTTGGTCTCGATACTCTTGGCAAATGGCCATAGTTTCAGTAAAATTCTGATAGGTTTTGTACTTTCTGATTGATATCAAATTCTGATATTTTTGTGCTTATGTAGATACATATATATGATGTGTCTCTAAACTTCTTTTAACTCATTAATGTTCCTTAATGTTCATTAATGTATTGGTAACCACATCCTGCTACATTCTATTGATAAGTTTGCAACACATTTTTATTTATTTGGTAAAATGAGGGCTGCTTCTTTGATTATCTTTACTGTCTGTTTATTTCATGACTATTGATACATCTTTACATTGTACTCTCTGCTCATTATTCCAGGCATGTTTGCATATCTGGGCTCTGGAAACATGTCAAATGTAATTCTCGTTACAGTCAATTGTGGTTTATTCACATATAAAATAATATTTAACGTGATATCTTTGTTAATTACCAGAGATCGATAAAATTCTTACAGCCATATCCTAAAAAATTGCTTTTATGAAAATAAAAATATAATATAATAAAAACTTTTTACAGCAGTGTTTTTAGAAATACAATTTGTACGTCATACGCATGGCGAAATAATAATGGTGGATACTGCAAAAAATATTGATAAGATACATGGCATGATAGGTCCTTACATTAAGGCAACACTTGTTATGAACGTACAATTTCCTGTTCCTGCTCTCTTATCCGTCTTAATAATAAGTATTCGATTATCTTGTTTACTTCGTAATAAAAATTGATTATTCGTGTATTTATATTTTTTGTCGATAATCTAAAGAACTATTCATTAAAAAGATTTCAGGTTGTGTCTAAATTTATCTATTAATTGAAGGTCTTCATTTGACACATACCTTGAGCTTCAGAGTATATGAGGCGTTCAGAACCATAGTGGATCATGTCCATAATACATAATATGTAGTTTAAATAATTAAACTATGTGTAATAATAAATAAATAACCTTTTTGGAAATAATTGGAGACTCTTGAAAAAAATTGGACTGATCCATTATTACTCTGAAATATTCGGTGGAAAAATGGATTAAAAAGCGAAGTATGACAAAACTGGAATTTTAGTTACAAAAATATTAAAAAATAAAAAACTTATTACAACAATGTTCAATAATACTCTCACGGCTTAAGTGGTATTAGTTTTAATCATCATAGATCAGTTCATGATCGTCTATGTTCTTTTCACCATGTTGCTGGATTCGTGAACGGGTTCATGTGTTGATGCAGAGATTTTTAAAATGATAGTGTGTGACTGGTAGCAGATATGGGAGAAGAGACAGCATGTCCTTTTTCTTTGCTTCTGTCGTGAGTTCAAGTGTAGAGTACATATGACTTTGATTACCAATGAATTTTGAGACATTTGTTTTGGCTATAGAGACAGTAAAAAAACGGAAAATCTTCATTCAGCGTAGGTTTCTACTTCAAAACCCAAGAATCTTCTCTCTCGTACCTCATCCATCTCATTTCTAACCACTTCACGGATGCTTTATCACTACTTTTTTTTTTTTTTCGATTTACAAGCACATCTTCTATGTTGTTTGTCGACCAGTGTCGCTCGTTTTTATGTTAGATACTTCAAAAGGCACTGCCAATTTTGAAGTTTTTATTACATCGATCCAGTCGTCTGGCCCAAAGATGTGAGAAGATTTTCTGGCAGCCTTTTCAATAACCCCAAAATATCGCTCATTTGGCAAAAAGGAGTGGCCAGATACAAGAAACTTATGATCTATCGTTCTTATATTTATGTAAGGATCTTGAAAAAGATTTAGTAACGTAGCAGTCACTGTAAAATTTCTGGTTTGTCCTGTACATGAATCTGAATAGAGTTAGAAAAACGTGGTTATGATTTTTGGTATGTTTTCTCCGATGCATGGTCAATATTGAAGATATTTCTTGAGATCCTCTAACACTATCTGCTTCGTCCCACACATAAATAAAGCCGTTGTTCATAGACATACATATTTCTTTTGTAATATAGCAGTGCTTTTTGGAGGTCAAAAGTAGCAACATAGTGTTCATCTGATGCGTCATCACTGTACGATTTTAGTACATCTCGAACTTGTTTTGCTTTTGCTAGGTGAACATTTTGCTTAACAATAAGTGAATCGAATGTCTCAGGTTTAGTTGCTGCAGCTATTTTTAAGGACAGTTGATCAAATTTGGCTAATTACGATTCTGCAGACGAGTGTTGTTCTGAAGGTATATAACTATCAGATGATGATGCAGATAAGTTACTAATATCGTCGTTGGAATCCACTTTTAATCATAAACGATCGCGATAAATACACAGCACAATCTTACTAGTCAACTGGACTTGATCCACTCTATCCCGAAATAATGTGACACATTGTTCAGATACATAGTAAACTAACGCCATCTGTTTATTATTGTGGTAACTTTAGACGTGGTTTGTTATAGCACCGAAAAGATTTCTATTTGTAGAACATAGATACGCCGCTTACTTAATTTTTGTAAAAAGTGGACTTAATTCACTATGGTTCTGAACGCCTCATATAACATTAGGTTTATTTTACATAAGCACAGCATAATAAATACATGAGTATACTTACCATGACCAACACACATAAGAGATTCGTTATTATTAATTACTGAGAAAATAAACATTTAATCAAAACTATATAGAACTTGTATACATCGATATTGAATTCATGCAAATGCCGCCTTTACCCCAAAACAATTAAGCTATCACTAAGTTGAGATATTTTTACTAAATATATTTCAAATACAGTGAAAAATTATTTAGAAGTTGTTTCCGGAAATGAGCTTGTTATTTTTCTACGTTTAAACATAAAAAAATATATAAAACTATTTCCTTTGTATATTTTCAGCAATGAGTAATAAGGGATCTCTTATATAGATAAATACTATAAATTGGAGATGAGTATATCTAAAACTTGTTCTAGTTCCTGGTTTGTTGAAATATATTATGATCTATGTAAAGAATAAGTTTACTATTTTATTTGCTTCCCGTAATATAACATTTCATTATATAACTAGTTCTCTTTCGATGTCATTTCTTCGTTATAATAGTCGACATATTATGACAAGAGCTTAGGCAAAAAGGATATGGTATAATATTTTGAT